GTCTCAGGAGCATCAGAATGTGATCAAAATGTCACAATTTCCCCCTTTTTGTATAAATAAAAAGCTTTAACTCTGATGTGGAAAAACTACATACAATAAAAACAATTATCAGGTAAAAATTACATTCACGATGTCCAGTCCACTTGCATTTGGCAAATTCAGAGAAAATGCTCCATTATCTATCCTATCTTAGTGAGTTCAAAATTTTGTTCCTAATTCACTTTCTATCCTAACTTACATTATCAACCCAAAACTATTTTTTTATACTTCAAAACATTTTCTTAGATAAACAATTTAAGATTTTATGTCTCCCAAGCTTATAAACTTTACATCTCTTATGTAACTTTCTTTTCTAAATTTGGTAACAAGGAAAACTATAACTACTTAGTCTTCGATTCCATCAGAGACCCGCAAAGGATATAATATTACCTGAGTAAACAGGAAGTTCAGAGCAAACAACTTTCAAAACTATAGAAATGACAGAAACAGCTAGCTTTCTGGACAGTCACCCAAGGTTCTTTTGTAATGTTGGGGCATCTGTCTTCGGCCTATAGGCCTAGAATATCTGACAGATTTTCTGTGAAGCAGGAATTTTGAAGGACTGTCTTGCTTTGTCTTGACAAAGTTTGGCAGTCATTTTCTCTTGTGTTCTGCTTGTCCAATTTGGACAGAATACTGTTAGTGGTTGAGGCAAGGGTAGTTTCTTGCCCAGTGGCTAGCTTTGCCACAATGAAAGCAAACTCCATATGGAGGTTCTTATATGCCCATCATCTTCTCTGAAGTAGATTGGTGCTGCCAGGAGCAGACATGTCTCATTGTGAAGAAAAGCTCTATGTTACTAAAACATCTTAAATGCTAACAGGGACTATTGGGGTCCAGCCCCTTGATAGTCCTCTCCTGGGGTCCAGGAATAATCTACAACCAGCTGATAATCTAATCTTAGATGATATGAAATGAATTTACATACAGGATACTCTTAGTCCATACATTTTATTCTTCTGAGTCAGTTCTCTCTCTACACAGCTTCTATTCTGCTCTCATGCCTTGCTCCTTTCTTGCCTGATTTCTCTCTACATTTATCCCATCTAAGTTCTATCTTAATTCTCTCATCATAGTTCTGCCCCATCTAGGTTCTCACCCATCTAATTATTTCCCATCTTAGCTCCTCTCCCATCTCCTTCTTTCTCATCTTGTTCTTCCCCATCTGACTCTTCTTCATCTTCCATCTTGTTCCTCTAATACTCTCTTCTAGTCCTTCAATCTAGTTCTTCCCCATCTCAGTTCGTTCCTCTCCAGTTCTTACTCACCTAGTCCTTCCATTCTCTTTTTTCTTCTCTGTCTCCTCTGCTCTGAAAATAAAACTGCTTTTTTTTTTATCCCTTTGACCCTTATCTCTCCAAGCTATCTCCTCTCCCACACTTTCGGGGGGGGGGGGGGAGGAAGTATGTTCAGTTGCTAGGCAACTTGGCTAAGCAACTTCCATCATAGCTAGATGCATCTGTAAGTTAATTGTTAAGGGTGGATCTAAAACTAGAGATAAGACTTTGGAAAGGAGAAAGTTAAGCTTAATTAGCCCATTCTCCAGGCCTTCTCAAACAGATAGTCTGGATGCTTATGTCTGTTCTTGGAGAGTACAGAGTTATCTCTGATAAGATACTTTCATCCATCCAGGGATGGTCCTAGATGGATGCTGCTAATGATGATAATTATAGAAAGGCCTGAAATTAGGGACCCTGGCTGAGTTACTGCACAGAAGGTTATCTAAATATTCCTTTAGTAGAGGGGAATAGTACCCAATAAATGATGAACAAGCTACAATAGCACATGAGAAATTTGTAGCAGGAAACAGCTAATAATCAAAAGCCAATATCACTAAGACTCCTTGAACCTCGGCTTGACCTCTGGAAGGCCCTTGGCTTCTTCCAGGTATTAGCTTATCATAATCAGCTAAAATCCTACTTCATATATTTTTGCAGCTTGCAGAAAAATGCTATATTCTGTAGATCTCTGAAGTGTTTGAAGACCACCTGTCTATCTAAAATATATCTCTGTTTGACCTTGAAAACATAACTAACATGGCAACAAATTTGATTGTTATAGATAATTATCTACTAACCTACATTTAATATCCTTTAAGGACTAGAACTGTACATTACATTTTCAAATGAGCTGCATAGATACAAATACCTTAAATAAGAGTAGAAACATTGGGCTGGAGAGATGGATCAGAGGTTAAGAGCACTGGCTGTTCTTCCAAAGGTCCTAAGTTCAAATTCCAGCAACCACATGGTGGCTCACAACCATCTATAATGAGATCTGGTACCCTCTTCTGGCAAGTAGGCATACACCCACCAGCAGAACACTGTATGCATAATAAGCAAATAAATAAATCTTAAAAAAAAGTAGAAACATGTACAGTATGTTCTAACAAAAATAACCTTAAATTTGTATCAATATATAAAAATGCCTTAAACAATGGTAGAAACTTATATACAATATAACAAAAATAACCTTAAAATTGTATCAATATACAAAAATCTATACCAGTGCAAAATATTTAAGACTAATATGGCTTTTCTAGTTTAAAAGTAGATTCAATAACCGAGGTGGCTAACCTTGTGGCAGCAGCCTGAGGAGGGAGTCCAGGGGAACCCATGGGGGAAAGGAGCCAGGGAGCCAGCCCTCTCAAGAGTGGACATGGGAACATGTGGGAACAGTGTGTGTGACGGTGAGAAGAGAGAGCACAGAGCTGCCTGAAGACAGAGCTGGCCGGTGGTGGGCGGCTAACTCGGGCAGCCTTTGGAGCCCAGGCACCTGTGGAGGAGTTTGGGTGGCAGCTGGAGGCTTTTGTAGAGAGGCTGCAACAGAAAAACCCCAGATGTGTGCAGAGGGCCTGGAGCAAGGGAGGAAAGCCTGCCGAGTCTGGTGGCTGCAGCGCCTGCAAAGCCAGGGACTGGTGGCTATCTCGTGCTTCCGTGCCCTGTGTTGGTGCCAGGTGATGCATTTATCTAATTATTCCTTATCAATAAAAAAATTGGGAGTCAGGTATGGGGTAAGAATCTGAATGATCAGAGAAGTGGAGAAGCCACCAGTCACCTCCTGTCCCTTCTGTTTGTCGATCCAAAAGGCTTGAGATCCCCTTCAGCCCTGCCTTACTATTTTCTGTCTCCTATCTGTCCTCAATCTAAGATCTCTATGGTTAATTGTGGTCAACTAGTGGCTAGCTCAGCCCTCTGACTCCAAGCAAGCTTCATTGTCAGAATACCATCAAAATATCATACAACAGTGTCTCTTCACAGCAACTGAAGCCCTAATTAAGACAACTAGCCATAGCCTTAAAGACTGTGGCAGGGGTGCCTCGGCCTCCTAGAACACTAGAGGGGTGTCGGACACTCAACAGTCGCTTCCTTGGACTCGGGGAAACATTTACAGTGACCAAATGGGAAACTTACCTAGTTGCCACTGGTGGATGGGGTGCTGAGCAATCAGTGAGCCAGAAGGTAAATGTTGTGGGTGGCCTGGAGATGAAGGACAGGGTCCCCATGCAGCTTAGACCCCAAAGGGGAATGCAGGCACCAGGAGAGCCTATCTGAGTCATGGCACCAATATAAGTGTTACAGCTTGGATGGAAAGGTATCCTGGCAGTGGGGTGTAGCAGGATTTGTCTTTTGGCTGCCGGCTCTCAAAAAAATGACATGAAGGAAGACTTACCATTAATTGTGAAAGCTTGGCCTATAGCTTAGGCTTGTCCCACTAGATCTTATAACATAAATTAACCCATTTATATTAATCTAGGTTTTGCCTCATGGCTTTTTACCTCTCTTCCATCTTTCACCTCCTGTTCCTCTTTGTGTCCTCTGGTGTCTCTCCTGCATGCCTAGATTAATCTCCTCTTCTCTCTCTGTCTGGAAGTCCTGCCTAACCTCTTCCTGCCTAGCTATTGACCATTCAGCTCTTTACTAAAACAACCAGAAGGCACCTTGACAAAGACACATCTTCACGGTGTACAAAAAGATTATTCTACAACAGTGGGGAGCCAAGGAATACCACAAAGTCACCCAGCACAGCAAACCTCACACAAGAGATTTATTGGGAGGGGAAAAAACCCAGGAGGGTGGTTGCCACTGCTCGGGCAAGAAGCAGAAGACAACTGAGCAGAAGACAAGATTTTATAGCATTTCTTGGGGGCAAGGCTTTCCAGGGTGGAGCTTTCCAGGGTTGGGATTGGTGGGATTTCAAGTCCTGAGCTTGGGCTTTTTACTTTGTAGAGCAGAGTCTCAATCTGGTCATTAGAGCAGTTAGAGTGTTCTGTGGGTGGAACCTGGCAGTTGGAGGTCCCCAGGGAAGGGGCCTGGCCACTCCTCAAGGGGCTTACAGTGAGGACTACTGTGGAATATTCCTTTACACTATGTGAATATCTATCACTGTGATTGGTTTAATGAAGAAGCTGACTGGCTAATAGCTGAACAGGATAAAGATAGGCAGGAGAGCTAAACTGAGAATGCTGGGAGGAAGAAGGGCGGAGTCAGAGGATATGCCAGCAGATGCAGAGGAAGCAGGAGATAAACATGCCATGCTGAAAGAAGGTACTGCCACGTGGCAGAGGGTAGATAAGAAATATGGGTTAATTTATGTAGAGACCCACAGAGGTTTCCTAGTGAGAACTTACTCAGGGTCCAAGAATCTGAGCTTGCTTTACCCAACAGGGCTGTATAAGGGGATGATTTGACCATGGGTATGGTTACCAGGTGATTGGAAGGGTCTACACTTGGCTGTGTGGTGTGCTTTGAACTAGCAAGGAGGATATCTTTTGCCCTGCCCCTTGGCATTGCTATAAAAAGCCCTTTTGAAGAGACACAAGGGGCCATTGGATTTTGATCCAGGTCCTCCCGAAGCTATCCTGTGTTTCTGTCTTTCTCCTCTTTGTTATCTTTCTATTTAAAAGTTTCTCATCCCCCTCTCCTCCTCATAGGAACCATTTAAAAGGTGGGAGCTGGCCTCCCACAAATTTAAAATATAAGATTTAGCTAGTAACAAGCCTGAGCTATCAATCGAGCATTTTTTTTAAAAAAAATCTATTTTCTTTCTTTCTTTCTTTCTTTCTTTCTTTCTTTCTTTCTTTCTTTCTTTCTTTCTTTCTTTTTCTTTCTTTTTTTTTTAAGATTTATTTATTTATTATGTATACAGCATGTATGACTGCAGGCCAGAAGAGGGCATCAGATCTCATTACAGATGGTTGTGAGTCACCATGTGGTTGCTGGGAATTGAACACTCAGGTCCTCTGGAAGAGCAGTCAGTGCTCTTAACCTCTGAGCCATCTCTCCAGCCCCCAATGGAGCATTTTTAAAAGACTTATTTATTTATTATGTATATGGTGTTCTGTCTGCATGTGTGCCTGCAGGCCAGAAGAGGGTGCCAGATCTTATTTACAGATGGTTGTGAGCCATCACGTGGTTGCTGGGAATTGAACTCAGGACCTTTGGAAGAGCAGTCAGTGCTCTTAACTGCTGAGCCATCTCTCCAGCCCCTGAATGAGCATTTATAATTAATATAAGCCTCAGTGTGTTTATTTGGGAGCTGCTGATGGGAGAGAAGCTTCCACCGACAGACTACGCTTGTCTTACGGGGATAAGCACCAACATTAAAAATGTAGTTAGGGATTATTCTGGTTTAGTAAAGTGGTTGTTGTTTATTTTCCTCCAAAATCCATGACTTCACTAGCCCTGGATAGCTGGTTAGGTTTCCAGTACCAGGCATGGTTTCCCTCTTGTTAAGCAGGTCTTAAGTGTAATTAGAGAGCTGTTGGTTACTGCTAAGGTATGCATGCCACTACCGCACCCTTAGGTTGTTGTGCCATGCTGGTTGTTGTGTGGTTCATAGGCATCATAGCTAGGTAGGACTGTTGGTTACCTTCCTTCTTTGGAAGCTTGCACGATACTTTCTGGTACCATGAAAGCTGGTCCTCAGGGAGGATTTATTGTTACGTGTATTTATTTATTATTTACTTGGAGATGAGATCTGTCTACATAGCCCTGGCTTCCCTAGAACTCACTATGCAGACCAGGCTGCCCTCAGACTCAGAGATCCGCCTGCCTCTGTCTCCTGAGTGCTGGGATTAAAGGCGTGCACCACCATGCCCAGCTACTGTTACTTTTAAAAACCAACTTCTAGGGCTGGGGCTGTAGCTAGTGATGGAAAGCTTGTCTGGTATCCGAGAGGCTCTTGGTTCAGTTTCTGGTACTGTCAATACACGAAAATCAGTGACCTCAGAGCTGGGGAGATGGTTCATTGGGTGAAGTGTCTCTCTAGTGTGAGTGCCTGATTTTTGAATCCCTGTGTAAAGCTGGCCATGTAAAGGTAGTGCCTGCTGGAATCCCGTTGCTCCTACTGTGAGATGGAGGGCAGGGATGGGGAATGTCCAGAAGCTCAGACAGCTGGCCTGGGGTACCATCAACAAGCAAGGTAAAAGGTGTGACCCAACAGCTGAAGCTGTCCTCTGCCTTCCATGTACTATAACATGGACGGGGACACACACACACACACACACACACACACACACACACACAGCTTCATCGATGGAGGCTCATGTCTACAGTTCCAGCACCTGAGAGGTTGAGGCAGGATGACCAAAGCCTGCCTGAGCTGCAGAGAGTCAACTT